CTCGATGATCCATATGTCCCCATCAAAAACTGCAGGGCGTGGGCTCTCCATTTTTCGGCAAGCAGAGGCACCAAATGTAACAAGAGAAGGCAAGACACGGGAGCCAAGGTATCTTTTTCATTAATCAAACCGCTATTTATATATATACATATATATATGCTTTATATTCATTAACCAGTCACTGAGCGTGTGATTTCGGTTTGCATCAAACGACATGAAATAGAATGTTTAAATATAAATAGTATTCTATTTTTAATGACGTACTGAACTGTGGGAACATGCGAGCAAAATATTCCGTTGACACACATAGTCTGTATCACACCATCATAAGGTAATATGTTGAAGGATGTTGAAGGTAGTAAGTAGGACTAGTGGCGTAAAACTCAGTCAGCTCGTCACTACATTAGTTGAGAGGCATCTGAATACATGCGAAAAATGGTCAAAAACCATACTCTCCGACCCCCAACATCCCCTTTATTCCCAACTCTCGCCCTGTATCTCATCAAGTAGAACTAGAAATCAGTATAAAATAATCTATGCTCGTACAACCAAGTACAGGAACTCAACAATACCATACTTGGCCCGTGTTCTAAGTGACAGAGACAATGTTAAGCGTGAAACCTATGACTTGCTTTGTTGTTAATAACATAATTTTAGGCTCTTTTATTTCTCTCTTATTTTGTATTCTATAGTGAACTCCTTCTTAAACATATTTAGTTACTTAAATTATTAACATTGCTTACTTTTTGTACTTTACTGTATTCCTTATTTTGTGTATCTACTGGTTCCGACTATATTAGCACAATGAGTATTACAAAATTGTCCTGTCATTAACCATCATGTAATTATTAGTTTTGTGGTTGTTTTTTCCTATTTTTTTCGGCAATATTAACTGACAATCATTGGTTGTGAACGCCATTATCACCATCTTAAAATTTTGTATTATTCAGGATTACTCACACTGCATTAGACCTGACAAAAAAACAATCCTGAAATGTTATTTTATGATTGTTTAGAGTTGTTTCAACCAAATTAACTGATCATCTTGGCTATAAACATCCTTAAATATCATTTCATAACGTATTGTATGACTTTAACTTTACTGTCACCATGCGTAATCATATCATAGCTTCCACTACCCAATACTGAGATATTATTTTATGCTGTTTATTTTCCTTTCTGCTTCTTGGTATTTTTTGCATTAATTTAATTGTTTTTGTGTTTTTTTGTTGTTGTTGTCTTTATATTTTTTGAAATACTCCTTTTGAACGTTTGATAAAATTAGATGCAAATATTGTAGATATGTGCCGAAAATTCCACACTGTACCACTAGTACTGTTTCTGGAATAAAGCAAATTATTATTATTATATTTAGAGTTATCCGGTGTCGGTGGGAGGAATAACTATCTTAGGTTGGCGGTGACCGCCAAGGGAAACAAAGAGACTGAACAAATATTTTCTGGATACAGATATTGGGTTGACAACTGTCTTAACAGCAACTGCTTCAGCTAAGCTCAGCAACGGAAGACGTACCAACCTAGGGAGTAGAGTTGAGGTGGCACCTGGTATATATAATTGTTATTTTCCCCTCTACCACTAATAGTATACACATTCTACCTGTACACTCCGTATTATCCAGATGGTACCATCAAGTGAACACAAGGCATATTTGTTAGGCGATAGCTTTCGGTCTGAAAAAAACATAAATTCTAACTCTTTCCCACCACTTAACCCTAAACCAGCTAACATTGATCTTCTATGCAAGATGTATGATTTTTTCTATATTTCATAATACCGAAGGCTATTGGAATCAATCTTGGTACTACGTGTTCTCCAGTATGGGAAGGTAAAGACCATTGCCAACGACCAAAAGGACTGAGTGATGTCGAGTTATGTTGCGTTCACAGACAATGAACGTTTGATTGGCGATGCTGCTGAGAACCGGGTGGCGATAAACCCGACTAACACAGTTTTCCATGCTAAACGGTTAACTGTTCGACGATTCAATGACTCTTCAATTCAGAATGACATAAAGTATTGGCCCTTTGATGTTATTAATGAGGTAGGTTAGCTGAAGATTCGTGTTGAGTGCAAGGGTGAGATGCAGACATTCATCGCTGAGGATATCTCATCGATGGCCTCGCCAAAGGTGAAGGAGGTGGTTGAAGAGTATTTACAGTGATGACAGTTCCTGCCTACTTCAACGACAGTCAACGTCAAGCTACCAGGAATACGGGTACGATCGCTGGTCTGAATGTGTTCAGACAGATCATCAACGAGCCAACGGCTGCTGATATCGCGTATGACCTAGACAAGAAGGTTAGTGGTGAGCGTAACGTGTTAACATTCGATCTGGATGGTGCTTGTCAATCATAACAATTGAGGATGGTATATTCGAAGTAAAGTCTACTGCTGGTGACACTCACACTTGGGAGGTGAAGACTTTGACAACAGTTTGGTGAATCATTTTATGCAAGAGTTCAAGCGTAAGCACAAGAAGGACATTAGTGACAACTATCTTGCAGTTCTTCAATATTCTGTTATCAATATAATTCTATTTGCAGCCATTTAGTCTTGTTTTGGATTTAGTCAAGTTTCTTTTATTTCAATTTGGTCGAAAACTGCAAGTCAGTATCTTCAAGGGTTATTCGCGCGATGCCTTTAAAATAAAGTTTGTAAAACAATGCTGGTAAGTGTTCGGTGATACGTTTTGATAGCGAACGCTGGCTGGGTACGGTCGACATACCTGGCTCCACACGAGCAGGTGAATTGGTAGATACACATTGATGAGGCCAGCAGTGGTAGCTTATTCTTCACGTTCATACGAATCATAGGTTTCGTGGAGAAGGTTAATCGTAGTTCGGCTGCGAAGAAGGTTTTTTTGAATGAACAGGACAGTCGATTTCTCAGTGTTTCCGCAGATAAATCTCCATCTCCATATAGATTTGCATATGGATTTCGAAAAATCCATTTGAAATTGTATATGTATGAAGAAGAGCTAAGGTTAGATAAGACATCTTTCAGTTGCTGCGTTAACATTGGACGGCTACTGAAAGATAGGAACAGATCTGCAAACCAGAACGTTTTCTTTAGGGCCCTGGTTAAACGTTGTGATAGAATATCCACAGGAGTGTTGTCTCCCTTGAATTGTAGACGTGAAAATAATGGCTTTTCTCCACCATTGCTAGTTTATGCCTACGATTCCAATGACCTATATTGGCTTTTATAAACTTCTATGTTTATCTGTTTACGCTGAAGATGTCAGATGACCAAAAGTTCTTTCTTTCCACAGTCTTCCGAACCAATCAACCTCACTATAAATGCTAAGCATCTGATCAGTTTACGTCTGTATTTCATCAGTACGAAGCGAAGAAAGTCTGTTTACTGTGCTTTGGTCTATTATTTACTATTATTATTGTTTCCTTTAATTCCTAGAGAAATATAGGGCTTCAGTCTTACGTCTCCATTGCATCCGGTTCTCTCCTTGAGTCTTCACCTGGCTCCACGTCTGCCCACAAGCTTTCACCTCCTCTTCACATGACCTCCTCCTCTATGTCACCCTTGCACTGACGACCAACTCGCCACTTCCCTTTCGGGTTCCACTCGAGCAATGGCTTGTCTAGTGATGTCACTCACTTGATGGTTTCCTCAGAGTACGGCCGGCCCATCGATCTCCATTTCTTCCTGCTTATTTGTTTCACAATCGGTTCCTGGTTGGTTCGCTCCCATATATTTCTGGTGCTTTGGTCTATAGCTTTCTAAATATGGTTCTTTTGACAGAACCATCCTCTCTTCTCGTTGGTAGGACGTCAAAGAAATGTACATTCTACGAATCTATTATGACTAATTACCACCATCATTGTCTCCCATTTTACACTATTTTGTAATCGATTTCAGCCTAGCACGTTTGTCACACAAATACGACTATTTATTTTGACACCTCATAACTACTAATCTGTTATACTTAGTTGAAAAAATATGTATCTGCAGCATACTGGCTATCATTGTTGTAAAGACAACAAATATTATAAAATTTTATAATTGTAAGAATCTGAAGCGGAGAAATTATTGAAAAGAACATTCCTCTTTCAGACTAACTTTTAATTCATGATATGGGAATATTTTACACTATTTTGGATGTGCCACCTAAGACAATGGTTGGGGCCGCGCTAAATCACGAATTGGTAGAAGTTAGAATTCATGAGCTGGCCACTGAATCGGGTTCCAGTGGCTGAATGGTATACGAGCTAGCTCGCCTTGTAACCGGAAGGTCCTGGGTTCGAACCCCAGTGGGTGCGTACTGCCAATGATTCCCAAACTAGGATGAAACAACAGCTGTCCAGTACTCCCTGGTTTTCAATGGTTCTCTAGCTGATATCAATGCGTGATCAACTCGTGAAAAACAAAACTAACCCTTAAAATCCAAACTAAAGGAATTTCGTTGAATTTTTGTCGAAGCATCTGCACAAGAAGCCGACATGTCAACGTGAGACCAAGCGCTTCGGTCCAATCAATCGACGGGAAAATCTAAAAATTCAATTAAATAATTAATATGACCCGTTGCACAAGAGGTGGCTTTCGTGGCCCAAGTGGTCTAGTGGATAACGCTTTGGCGTTTGAAACTATGGGCACTGGGTTCGAGCCTCGGTGGTAGAACATCATCACTCACTGGGAAATGTAGGTACATACAGATGACGAGTCGCAAATAGGACGAAATGTGCATCCTGGATTTCACTGCTAGTCACATCCACAAATTCAATTGAAACTATAGAAAACTATTATCATTATTATTCTCTTGGGTTCCAAGTGGAACATAGGGCTTCAACAACTCGCTAGTTTTCTACCCAGTCCCAAGCCCGGGTAAAGAGGGAGGGTTGAGCGTGGGACTAGCAACCCCACAGCACTAAATCTTTCAAACCGCTAGAGAAACTTGAACACGCAGAAAAAAAATATATACAAATGATTTATTTTACATCCTCTTTCAACAAGAAACAATTGTATTCGGAAACAAACAAAGAAACAAATAGAAAAAATTAGTTAATTACAAATTTAATGAAAAACATTTTTTTAATTTTTGTATGAATTTTTTATCACTATAACACGTAATAACTCGGTTGTGTAATTCTCTCAACCAACAATTATCCAACTCACTGTAACCAATCAAAAGTGGTCGGCTGGCTTTGTCAGTTGTCCTATTACTACTACTAACTATTATCATCGTTAGACTGTCTAGCTGAAGTACTATTCTTGTCACCGGTTGTGTCAGATGCTGTCGCTTTATCAGCATCATCTGGCGTAGACGATTGTTGTGCGGTAATAGTGAATAAACCGCCTAAATGTGATAAAAAGCCTTGAAAATTTGTCAGTGCTGTACGCAAACGTTGACGATGCTTTTGTGCCTAGAAATAATAAAATGATTAAAAGTTATTATTACTATCATTATTATTACTATTATTATTACTAATATATAATGTGGTAGTAGCAGTATTATTATTATTATCATTATTAATTAGTTAAAAACCAAATGATAATTGAATTATCATAAATAAAAAGAGAGATAAAAGTATTCATGGAGTTTAAATAAAGCAAGAACAACAGTGTGTTTGTGCAGAATAATATAGTGCCACCACTGCTTATTTCGTTGGCTTCTCATCATCTGCTTACAGCCTAAATAAATTGTGAGGTTTACTTACAGAAAAGTTTTAACATACTTGCAAATTTTACATTTTGTCAATTGACAGAAAGTTCCACAATTAGTGAAAAGTGCTCAGAAAATTGTGCTTATATAGTTTTTACGCAAGCAGTTCAAGTTTAAACAAAATAGATGTATGCATACAATGGTAAACGAGTTACGTAATAAAGACGAGAGGTGAATAAGATGATGAGTAACTAATAAATTTGGTAACGATGTACTGAGTTCAATTCACGTCATAGAAACAAGAGACAAGCAATATTACAGATTATAAAAAAGAGGGGTGAGGTTAAAGACAAAGATTACGTAATCAGATTAGAGAATAAAGACATCCAGTTACCATGTCAAGGAAAGACTAATAACTGCTTCTTTCTGAACACATCAATCTGGTTTCAAGCGTTTGATAGAAATTACTTCGGCAAACTTAAGGAGAATGGAGCTCCTTTGTCTATTGATAATTTTAAAGGATTTCTCGATTTCCACCTCATGACCCGTGTCGAGGAGATGCCTGGCGATTGCACTGTTTAAAGAATTTCTTCCCTTTAGACGCAAGCTTTTTGGTACATGTTCAGAAAATCGTAGATATGCCCTTCTTTCTGTCCTTCCAATGTAACTGCTCCCGCAGATACATGTAAATTTGTATATACAGTTGGAGTTAATATGAGAAGGATATCTATCGATTTTTGATTGCACCAAAGAGCTACCAAAATTTATTAGTTATTCATCATCTTACTCACCTCTCGTCGTTATTACGTAACTCCTTTACCATTGTATGCATACATTTATTTTGTTTAAACTTGAACTGCCTGTGTAAAAACTATATATAAGCACAATTTTCTGAGCACTTTTCACTAATTGTGGAACTTTCTGTCAACTGACAACATGTAAAATTTGCAAGTATGTTAAAACTTTTCTGTACGTAAACCTCACAATTTATTTAGGCTGTAGGCACGCAGCTGATGAGAAGCCAACGAAATAAGCAATGATGGTACCATATTATTCTGCACAAACCACACTGTTGTTCTTGCTTTATTTAAATTCATCAAGGGGAATAAATGCATGAAGTTATTCATGGAGTAATAATAATAACAATAGTAATAATAATAAAAATAATCCATAATGATATAATGTGAGACGAGGACACAGACTTGCATACGCAGATGCACACTCACACAAACATACACAAACACATACAGAGACAGACACAAGCTAGTTCATGGGTAGACAGTGAGTATTAGTAGTAGCAAAAGACAAACAACACAGTAAGTAACAAGATCCTCAACGGGAACAACAACAACAGCAACAATGGCAACAACTTAGTAACTTTTGCATCACATCAAAGAAAGAAAGAAGCAAAATAAGCAATTAGTCGAGAGAGAACAAGGCGAACAAGGAAAGGTGAATGAAGTGTAGGCGAGTTTTTTGCAGTCACGCGGCAATTCAATGGTGATTCTACTATTGTAAATATATACATATAAGCACGAGACAAATTCCAATTAAACGAGACAATTATTCTTTCAATGCATAAAACAGACAAACAAGGAAGAAAGAAGAAGAAAGAAATGAAACATTGAAGAAAACAGTCTCAGTGACAATGGCATTGTGAAATTACTCGTGACTTCATTATTCTAATTGATAGACTATAGGGTAACGAGTAGTAAATTATCGCGTTTGATGTGTTCATACATATTACAAAAAGAAAAAAATATAATGATGCTATATGTGTAGAACTTGGGCACTGTGGTAGTAAGTAATTCCATATTAGTTTGTTTATTAGAAACAATGATATATGTCTGATTTCACACAAACTGGAAGATATGCAAGCGAAAAGCAACAAGTTGGCAGAAGAAGCATCCAGAGAAGATAGGACTTCACTTCAGGTGAACATAGAGAAAACAGAGGTAATGAAGATTCCTGGGCAACACCACCAACAGCAACAACAACAACAGACAACAATCAGCATATATGGGAGGAACCTGAAAGAAACAACCTCTTTTACCTACCGACCTGGGAAGCATCGTTTCAACTACAGGCAGACGAAACTGACGAGGATATCAAAGCAAGAATCGGAAAAGCAAGACAAGCTTTCACTACTCTCAAGTCTGTGTGGAGATCAACAGCACTCAGCATCAAAAACAAGATCCAGATTTTCAACTCCAATGTGAAATCAGTGCTACTCACTATACGGATCAGAGACTTGCACTGTGCGTCATAAAGAGCATCTCAAACAAACTACACACCTTCATGAACAGTTGTCTTCGCTCAATACTCACTTAAGATCAGATGGCCGGCCGGCCAGAAAAGATCAGCAACAGAGATCTCTGGCAATGAGCGAACCAACTCAGCAGGAACCGATTGTGAAACAAATAGGCAGGAAGAAATGGAGATGGATTGGCTGGCCATACTCTGAGGAAACCATCAAGTGACATCACTAGACAAGCCATTGCTCGAGTGGAACCCGAATGGGAAGCGGCGAGTTGGTCGTGAGTGCAAGTGTGACTTGGAGGAGGTCATGTGAAGAGGAGATGAAAACGTGTGGGCAGACTTGGAGCCAGGTGAAGACTCTAGCAGAGAACCGAACGCAATGGAGACGCACGGCTGAAGCCCTATATTCCTCTAGGAATTAAAGGAAACATTAATAATAATCATAAAGTCTCTTTGGAATAAATCAAATCCTGCAAGGTCAACTGGAAAACAGTATTAGTCTTCATGATGTTTTCATCAATGACAAATAAAACCATATCTTAAAACAATGATGGATGTGTGTCTTAACTGAAGGATTAGCAAAGTTTGAAAAATTTACGCATAAATGTGTTTTACTCATTGAAACGTAGACTACCGAAAAAATTAGAAGAAAAAAACCCAAACAGAACAAGATTATATTTCTTTCTTAAAAGTGGATTTCCTCACTGAAAGATCCTAGTAACTCTATTGAAGTGAGAAAATGAATATTAATAGTAATAATAATAATAATGCTAAATTTAACCCTAATCCATAATGATCCTCGAAAAAGGCAGACTGTGAACATGATTCAGTGCTTATCTTACGGTTGAAATAGAGACATAGATAATGATTAGTATATATAATAGGCATTGGGGTGGGAGATTGAATGCATGAAATAAAAAAATATGAATTTGCATGCATACCCTATCAATGAGAATAATTTCAATTATTATTATTATTACTATTATTATTATTAAACCCAACCCTTACTCCTACAATTCGCTATCTCTCGGATTCTGCCTATTATTCTCTATTGTTCCCCCTTAGTTTTTCCGGGCTACTGAAGAAAGACTGTGACATAATACGCAGGATGTTAAAGATTGTCAGCAGGATAAGCAACGTGCCACTCAACCACCTTGTTAATATTCTGGTTGACACGCACATGGACTCATGTGAAAAGTGGGCCAAATCCATTTTGTCTAACTCACACCACCCTCTTCACTCACAACATCTCCCCTTGCACCTCATCAGGCAAAACCAGAAGACTATATAGAAAACTATATGCTCGCACTAGCAAGAACAAAAACTCAACCATACCCTACTTAGCTCATGTTCTGTGCGATAAAGAAAGCATTAGGCGTGACACCTATAATTCATTAAATAGTCAGTAGAACAACTGGACCTCGTCTTTCCAACTCATATCATTTATAGGTACAACATTTTCTTTCTTTTCCTTTTCTCTCTCTCTTTTTTTTTCCGTTATGTGCTGCTTTGTTTCTTTCTTCCGCTCACGCCAGTAAATATGATAGCACCTACTTTTCTAACACCTTCAAACACTGTTCAGCTTTGGCTTTGCTACCGATATGCCAATATGTTGTTGTCATAATGAACTGAGATTTCCTTAATCTATGTAGAATTCTATTTATTGATAATGTACTAACTGGATGCAATACTGTAGTAAAAATTCTGAGTATTCTATTCTGTATCACAAGTACTGTTTTGGAATAAAGCAAATTATTATTATTATTCCCTTGAGTTCTGAGTGGAATCATAGGCCTTGAAAAACACATCTCCACTTCTCTTCTGTTTTCGCCTGTTCTCTTCAACTGGATATTCACACGATTGCCCGTAATCTCTCATGTACTCCGCCGCCGCCGCCGCCTCCTCCTCCTCATACGATCTCTTCCATTTCACTCTAGGATGACCCATTCATTCATGGTTTTCCATCGGGATTCCATTCGAGTAATGACTGATCTGCAATGAGCGCAATGTCAATCGGCAGGCCTCTTCATTGGCGTGTGCCCAATCTATCTGCATAAATGTTGAGTGAAAAGTTCTTGATTAGTCTGTTCCCAGAGATGTTTTTTTGCTAATTTGTTCTGGTAGGCCATTTCACCTTCAATATGGAGCCAGCCAGCGAAGTGGGCAGCTGTTGATAAAAAAATTTTGCAACAGGCTGTTGGAAATGCTTTTCCGGACTTGACATTTCTGTGTTGAAAATTTCGAATCTTGTTATTTATGCTGAGGGGAAGTGCAGAAGTTTTTCTTAACCGATTTCAGATTGATAAATATGTATCTTCAAGTATTGGTTGTTTTAGGGATTTTATATGATTGGATGGAGGATTTCATCATGAGCTGACATCAGTTGGAGAGAACCATTGGAAAACCGGTGAGGGAGTACTGGACGGCTGTTTCGTCAGCCTAGTTTGGGACTCTTCATCAGTACGCACCCACCGCCAGTGTTTGAAACCAAGACCTTCTGGTGACAAGGCGGCGAGCTCATAGACCATTGAGCCACTGGAACCCGATCCAAAGGCCAGGATTTCATCATCATGAACTGACATAGGTTAGAGAAGCATTGGAAAACCACCAGCCTTGGAGTACTGGACAGTTGTTCCATTATGGGTAAATTTTGTTTTGATAAAGTCTCACAGTTTTATACAGTAATGTTTACTGATGACGTTTCGAGCACAATTTATACTGCTCATAATCATATCAAGGTAATCACAGGACTTCCTAAATTCATTTATATAGTTTCATTGTTTTTCACTTGATTTTCACTTGATTTGATTGGTAGCAACATTTTCCATATTTCGGGTATGAGTGATGATTCATTCCTATTGCACGTGTTGGGTGTAGATTCGATGAACAAAGATTCAGTAATCAGCCTCTCTCTGCACCTACCTAGATTACTGTTTAGAATTTTAACCCTCTCCCACCCTATTGTGTGGTTGTGTGTTAATGCATGCATCGCAATTACTGAGCATTATTACACAACCACACAATAGGGTGGGAGAGGGTTGAAATTCTAAACAGTAGAGAGAGAGGTTGATTACTGAATTCTTTTCATCGAATCTACACCCAACACATGCAATAGGAATGAATCATCACTCATACCCGAAATATGGAAAATGTTACTACCAATCAAATCAAGTGAAAATCAAGTGAAAAACAATGAAACTATATAAATGAATTTAGGAAGTCCTGTGATTACCTTGATATGATTATGAGCAGTAATAAATTGTGCTCGAAACGTCATCAGTAAATATTACTGTATAAAACTGTGAGACTTTATCAAAACAAAATTTACCCATAATGGAATTACACTCTACCACAGTGCACAAGTTTTATTCTTATATCAATGATACTGGACGGTTGCTCTCTCTCTTTCTCTCGTCCCACTAATTTGAGACCCTGCACCAGTGCGCATAAACCACAGGGGTCTCAAATCCACGACCTTCCGGTAACAAGTGGTTTTTTTTACTAATGTTTCTCTAACCAATTTCAGCTGATAATGAAGTCTTACATGTGTAATAATGATAAAATTATTTAGACGAGTGAGATGAAGGGGAAACAAACTAGGTGGAATTTCTATCTTCATCCACTTATTCCACTCAATGATATCAATGCAATACCCCCCCCCCCCCCCTTTTTTATACACCACTTGAAGAAACACAAAGTTATTCATACAGAATTAATTTGCTGTTTCGGAATTTTTCAGAAAAAGTGAATCTCTGCATATTTCTGATTACCGTTAGAAGCCTACACACAATTTTTATATGAATTACTAATAACACATTTCACAATTCAGTGAATATACATTTAATTTTTTTTTGCAATCCTTTACGTTCCCAGTGGAAAATATGGGGGGCTTCAAGCTGGAGGCTTGAAGTTTCAGTAACAGTGGGGTTTTTTTATTTGACACTAGTAACTAATGTGATGCGTCTAGTCCTCTCTTTGGTGCAGACTGAATTCTATCAGTCAGGTTTTGCAATGTGGTAACCATTCTAGGTATCTCGCCACCACAATGCACATTGATTTGATGATATTAGATAGTTGGAGGCAATCGACCTCAGGAAGCCTTAAACCTAGGTTTCGCGCTAGTTGGCACTCACCAGTCAGTCAGCAAGGCGTATCTGCAACCTTGAAGGAACTCATGTCCCTGCATCTGAGATTCGAACCCGCGTTGTCAACCAGCGCCGCCTGCAGTCAGAGACGTTACCACTGAGCTATTCGGGCTGGCTCGCGATTGACCTCCTGTAGAACTGTAGTGGGTACTTGTGTGACGTTTCTTCTAGTCAAAGACTCTATGGTTTAATGCTGTTTTTCAATTTGATTACGCCAAAACTCTTTTCCAGCTCCATCCCATATCGAGGAAGAGACAGGAAGGCTGAACAGGCATTAAAAAATCAAATTTAAATGTCAATGTATCTACTGAATGAGTGAATAAATAATGACTTAACTAACCTCTTGAACAGCAAATGAATTCGAAGAATTTGGATCTACACGACTCATTTGTCTCAATGATTCACTTTCTTGTGGTGTCAAGCCAATCCATTCAGTTAATAATTCAGATGATACATCTAAGTCGACAATTGCACTGCCATCTGTAATTCGTACAGCTAGAGTCCATTTAGTACCATGATGATGTTCTAATGATGACAGTAAACTAATTAATAAACCACGAATTCTATATACAGAAGATACTGTGTTCACATTTCCATTATTAACATTATTTTGTAATAGATTATGATACATATCCTAAAATTCAGAAAGTAGAAATAAAATTCAATCATTTAACAAATATAAATATATAATTACACACATAGGAAAAAAAATAATTAATAATCCCTCATCGAACAACATGCTCTTTGGTGCAGTCAAAAGTCGATAGATATCCTTCTCATGTTAACTCTAACTGTGTATACGAATTTACGTGTATCTGCAGGAGCAGTTACATTGGAAGGACAGAAAGAAGGGCACACCTCCGATTTTCTGAACATGTGCCAAAAAGCCTACGTCTCAAAGGAACAAACTCTTATAGTAGCGCTATTACTAGACATCTTCTCGACACGGGTCATGAGGTGGAAATCGAGAAATCCTTTAAAATTATCAATAGACAAAGGAAATCCGTTCTCCTCAAGTTTGCCGAAGCAATCTCTATCAAACGCTTCAAACCAGATTTATGTGTTCAGAAAGAAGCAGTTATTAGTCTTTCCTTACCAGGGTAGCTGCATGTCTTTATTCTCTCATCTTATTACGAATTCTTTGTCTTTAACCTCACCCCCTTATATAATATGTAATTTTGCTTGTCTGTTGTTTCTATGATTCGAGTTGAACTCAGTATATTGTTACCTAATTTATTAGTCCCTCTGTATCTAACGCATATTTCGTCTTTATTACGTAACTCCTTTACCATTGTATGCATACATTTATTTTGACTTGAACTGCCTGTGCAAAAACTACATAAGCACAATTTTCTCAGCACTTTTCACTCATTGTGGAACTTTCTGTCAACTGAAAACATGTAAAATTTGCAAGTATGTTAAAACTTTTCTGTACGTTAACCTCACAATTTATTTAGGCTGTAAGCAGCAGCTGATGAGAAGCCAACGAAATAAATGATGGTACTATATTATTCTACACAAACCAAGTTCATCAAGGGGAAAAATGCATGAAATAATCCCTTTTGGTTACAGGATTTCATCATGAGCTGACATTGGTTAGAGAACCATTGGAAAACCAGTATTGGAGTACTAGACAGATGTTTCGTCCATGTTTGGGACTCTTCATCAGTACGCAACCACACCCAGGATTCGAACGCAGGACCTTCCCATTACAAGGCGAGTTCGTAGACCATTATTGAGGCACTGGGACCCTAACCCTAACCGATCCAATGACCCATGAATTCTAACTTCTGCCAATTCACGACACAGCGCAACCGCTAGCCAATGTCTTCGGGGACGAGTATTTGTCCTCACACCCGACCTGCTGCACCCTACTGCTCACGACGTCCCACTAGAACCCCAGGTAACTACCTAGGGTAAGTGCCAGTCAGCATCTAATCGATATTCAAGTGTTGGTTTGTAGGGATTTGATTGACTGGTTACAGGATTTCAGCTGTCCAGTACTCCTTGCAGGTTTTCCAAGGGTTGTCTAACCAATGTCAGCTCGTGATGAAATCCTGCAACCAATCAATCAAATCCCTACAAACCAACACTTGAATAATCTCTTTTCCGAGCATATCCCTAAAAGTCTCTGTCTGAAAGGCGACAAATTATTCTCATCCAACAGCTGTACAACAATGCTGCATGCCAAGTAATGCACTACGGAATCCTTCGAGGTGACGACAGGAGTAAGACAAGTCTGCCTACTATCGCCAATGATTTTCCTGATTGCAGTAGATTGGGTAATGCTAAAAACAGCGGGCAATGAGGAAACAGGCATAAAATGGACTCACACAAAAAACCAACTTGGAGGATATGGACTTCGCCGATGATATATGTCTGACTTCCCACAAACTGGAAGATATGCAAGCGAAAAGCAACAAGTTGGCAGAAGAAGCATCAAAGATAGGACTTCAGGTGAACATAGAGAAAACAGAGGTGATGAAGATTCCTGGGCAACACCACCAACAGCAACAACAACAGACAACAATCAGCCAGCATAAATGGGAGGAACCTGAAAGAAACAACCTCTTTTAACTACCTACCTGGGAAGCATCGTTTCAACTACAGGCACACGGAACTGACGAGGATATCAAAGCAAGAATCGGAAAAGCAACACAAGCTTTCACTACTCTCAAGTCTGTGTGGAGGTCAACAGCACTCAGCATCAAAAATAACATCCGGATTTTCAACTCCAATGTGAAGTCAGTGCTACTATACGGACCAGAGACTTGGCCTGCGCGTCATAAAGAGCATCTCAAACAAACTACAGACCTTCATTAACAGCTGTCTTCACTCAATACTCAAGATCAGATGGCCGGCCAGAGAAGATCAGCAACAGAGATCTCTGGCAATGAGCGAACCAACACAGCAGGAACCGATTGTGAAACAAATAGGCAGGAAGAAATGGAGATGGATTGGCTGGCCATACTCTGAGAAAACAAACCATCAAGTGACATCACTAGACAAGCCATTGCTCGAGTGGAACCCGAAAGGGAAGCGGCGAGTTGGTCGTCAGTGCGAGGGTGGGATGACTTGGAGGAGGTGATGTGAAGAGGAGATGAAAGCGTGTGGGCAGACTTGGAGCCAGGTTAAGACTGTAGCAGAGAACCGAACGCAATGGAGACGCACGGCTGAAGCCCTATGTTCCTCTAGGAATTAAAGGAAACAATAATAATAAAATTAAAATGGTCTACGAGCTCGCCTTGTAACCAAAAGGTCCTGGTGGGTGAGAACGACTGAAGAGTGTCAAACAACAACTGTCCAGTACTCCTGTATACTGATGGTTTTTTACAATGGTTCTCTAACCTATGTGTCAGTTCATCATGATGAAATCATGTCCCCAGTGGAATTCCTGTAAACCAACATTTGACGAAAAATAGATGCATTCACAACTAACTAGACTAATTTTAAATAGAAAGAGTGACTTAATTAACTTATTATTATAATTTTTTTCTTCATTTAATTGTAAAAGCTTCACCCTGATACGAAATAATTTTTTTTTTTACAACACCAAAAGTGCAGTCTTATTTTTTATTAACATGTGAAATTCTAATATAACTGCTGTTGATTTGTTTGTTTTTATAAACACCTGTGAACAACACGTTATTCATTGAGGAAGAAGCGTTCTATTTCACCACGACACCAACAGCACAGTACTCACAATTAACAACAAAACAAAAAGAGAATATGACTGGGGTCAAACAAAAGGCAAAACTCTCTATAAAATTGGTATATATATATTATATGTGTATGTGAAACATGCAAAATTTGTTTACTCAAAGAAAATAAGAATGTTTATTTTGTTTTACAAGTAAAAAGAAAAGTTTAGTTCAACCATTAGCATGTATCTTGGTATAAGAATAGAATATTTGGGCACTGTGGCATTATTATCCTTATTATTATTATTGTTCCCTTGGGTTCCAAGTGAAACATACGGGCTTCAACAACACTCTCCACCTTGTTTTATATTCTGCGATCCTCTTCAGCTGGGTCCACACGGTTGCCCAAAATCTCTCATCTGTCTCTCACACAGGATCTTCTTCATGTCACCCTCATGACGACGAAGACGACCCACTCGTCGTCGCTTCCCATTGGGATTCCACTCGAGCGATGGCCTGGCGTGCGATGTCATTCGGCGGCCTCCTCAATGTATGACCGATCCATCTCCATTTTCTCCTACATATTTGTTGAGCAATCGGCTCTTGGTTGGTTTGTTTCAAGAGTTTTTTCTTGCTAATTCTTTCTGGCCAGCCATTTGATCTTCAGTATGGAGCCTGCGAAGACAGCTGTCAACAAAAGTCTGCAACAACCTGTTGGAAATCCTTCTGGTGACATGCTGGTTACGTTTCTGACTTGTGTAGAAGCACCGACTGACTTGACATTGGTGTTGAAAATTTGAATCTTGTTCCTTATGTTGAGTATGAAGGATTTCCAAACTGGTTTCAGATTGATGAAGGCGTATCTTGCCTTTCCGATTCTGGTTGGCTGGTGTTGACATGTTCATGCGTGCCGTATGCCTGTAGTTGGAACGATGCTTGCTAGCAGTATAAGTGAAGGAGGTAACCTGTGTTAAATCTCTCCCGTTGACGGTGATTGGTGCTGATTGTTGTTGTTGCGTTTTCTCCATGTTCACCTGGAGTCCCATCTTTGCTGACAGTCTCTTCTGTCAGCTTTTTGGTCTTCACCTGCAAGTCTTCTAGTTTGTGTGAAATTAGACATATATCATCCAGGCGCGAAATTCAGGTCTTCTAGAGTCTTCTTATCGGTGGTCCAGAGAAATCTTGACTCTGTGGTGGTTGAGTATAATTCCATTGTGGAGGAAATTTTATTTTGATATATTCTCAAAGTGTTATACAGTAAGTAATATTTACTGATGACCACTTCTCGAGCACAATTTATACGCTGCTGATAATTATATCAAGGTACTTCTCATACACGACTTTCTGACTTCATTTATATAATCCCATTATACTTTTCATCTCTTGATTTGATTCATAGTAGTATTTCCACAATTCCATAAGATTCTTAATAAATCAGGAATTAGGGTAGCATTTAAACCTACAAGCTCACTCAGGTAGGACAAGCTCTGTAGGTTAGATGACCTTGTCGGTTGACTCAAATAGACAAAATAATATAATTTACAAAATACCTTGTAATAACTATGGGTTAATGTCACAGGATTAGCTCACTTTCAAAGTGTTGTATCACACTGGGACATGGATTTCAATGCTGAGTCCAAAACTAGGTTTCAGTTACTATCTTTCTTGCGTATTCCCCAGTGATTAGTATTGGTTTATCATATCTATCTTGGAGTCCCAGTAACTGTGAATGGTCTACGATCTCGCCTTGTAACCAGAAGGTCATGGGTTCGAACCCCGTTGGTGAGTGTGTGCGTACTGGTGAAGAGTCCCAAACTAGGCTAACGAAACAGCTATTCAGTACCCCCCCCCCACGTTTTGCAATGGTTCTCTAGTTGATGTCAACTCATTTTTAAATCCCCCAATCAATTAATTGGTCAACCACTTGACTTACGATATTTAACCTATGATTATAACCACAAATATTTTAACTGCATTTCACACTATTATTATTATCATTATTATTTTTTGCATTCACACCATTGTTTAAATTTCCTCACAGGTTATAATTTGTTAATTTGAAAAAAACGATATAAATACAGTTAATTGTACAGGTTGATAATAAATTCGGTATTGTAAAGAGTCTTGTCTCTGAATCACTGGTTTTGATTTTATTTGCTTATTGACAAAGTGTGTGGCTTACACTAAGTTTAATAATTAAAAAGAGCCTGTATCTACTAAACGAGTCGCACCATTGTTATTATGACTGTATATTTGAATTAATCAGCTAAAGCATGTAGAATATATATAGACGTGATATCCGATCAAAGGGCGTGTGTACTGCTCATCAGTCCGCTCCGTCCTCCTTTATGGCCAGCTGTGAGACCTGGCCATTGAGAGTCGAAGACATGAAAAGATTAGCTGTCTTTGATCATAGGTGTCTGTGTTCTATCTCCCGGGTTAACTGGTATTATAAGGTGAGCAATATTGAGGTTAGGCGTCGAGTGCTAGGTAAGGAGGGAGGGGAAATCAATCGACGAGATTGTGAAATTACATCGACTGAGATAGTTAGGACATGTGTTAGGCATCCATGCCTAGTCATCGCCTTCCTCGACGGGCAATGTTAGCTGATATAGGGTCAGGCTGGGAAAGAGCTAGCGGCGGTCAAACGAAACCATGCCTTCATCAGTCAATGAAATCTACAACAGTTAGTCTAAGCCAGTCACGTAGGAAGGTGTAGACTGGCTTCCTGACTGGGGTCCTCGGGACGGTAAAAACCAATGGTTGGAAACAATTGGTGACATGGCTCAAAATCGTTCTCAATGGCTGGCGCAGATGCATCCACTCCTTGTGACTTATGATTTCCAATGAAACTGTTTTATTCTTCGTTATTACTATACCTTTGTCTCACACCTCTGTTTACTGTCTCTAATATGCATTTCTCCTACTTTCTTCTCTTGCTTTGTGTGCTACAAGGAGGGAGTGTGGCGACTTGAACTGCCGCACATATGTGCAAAGTTCTATGTTGAAAAACAGACAACAGATAAATTACAAAAATTGTTATCTACATCAAAAGTTCAAAGTGAAAAATTCAATGACGTAGATAAAAGTCAGCAAAAAATAAAAAGAGAAAAAGAAAAACGGGGGATGGGGAGTTTTTTGCAAGGGGACAACAACAACAACTTACTTGAATGTAACAAAATGGTTGAAATCGATAATCACTTTGTGATGAAGCAGTAGTAGTAGTGATAGGCTGACAAATAGCTGTTTGAGGTTTATAACCAACAGCATTACTGCTATTGTTATTATTATTACTATTATTATTATCGAAATCATTGTTTCTACTCAAACTTGTTTTAGATTTCCCTTCATCTGTCTTTAGCATCGTTGACAAACCAGATGAAGAAACATTAGACCGTAGTATATCTTTCAAATTACTTTTATTACCGCTAACACTAGTAACAGAGGCAGTGTTTTGTTTCAATTCAATTGGTTTACGTTTAGGCGCTGGAGGTAAAAGATCTTCACTATCATCAATATCAGTAGTAGGTTTTACAATGGCTGATTTTATAGATTCCACTGTAGAAGGTTTGGTCAATTGGATTTTAGGCAAACAGGACGAGGAGGAGGAAGAGGAGGCAGCGGAGGGGGAGGGGGAGGATGAGGCATCCATATCCCTTTTTGTCAATGTATCATTACGTGTGTATAAATTTAAAAGTGTTTGTTTCAAAGTTTGTCTTGGTTCTGACTGTAATTTTGGAGGTTGATTCGGTGTGAAACTCTTTGCCATTAAGGATAAAGATGACGATGACGATGAAGAAGTAGCTACAGTTGGCAGAGTTGGGGATACTTTCATCGTAGAATGATACGATTTCACAACATTTACAATTGGCTGTTGAACATTCAAATCTTTCACGGGTTTATGATCATCTATTTCAGCTAATGCTGAGGCTAAAATATCTGGATCAACTTGATCGTCTAAAAATGGATCATCATCATCATCATCAGCATCCTCCTCAAGATCATCATCATCATCGACTCTTTTTGTAGTACATAGACTATCTTCAATACTGCTCATCTCTGATTGACTTGACTGTTGTTGTTGTAGTTGTTCAGCCATAAAATTTGGTAGTCGAAGTGGATCATTAAAGGAGGGAATAGACTGACATCGTGAGCTTGGTATGCCTAAATTATGATTATATACAAAATATTATATTATGATCATATAGTAAACGTTTGAATAAATACATATAAACTTAAACATACTACTTAAATAAAAACGAGTAATCACGTATAACATTTAAATTTAGCAACATTTAGCAATTCCATATTAGCCTGTTTATTAGATGTACCACACAGGGAAACAGTATTTATTACATACTGGATGACAAGGTTTCGAACGAAATCTATTATTGTTCATAATCATGTCATCAATTATAATCACACGACTTCGAAACTTGAGTTTTATAGTTTTCTTTGTTCTCTCCTATTTGTCGTCGTTGGGGTAGTAGAATTTGCCAGATATCCGGCTGGACAGGTGTTGAATCATTCCTATTACACGTATTTTCAGTTGATTCGATAAACAAAGCTTCCATTGTTATCGATCTCTCCCTCCACCCAATGTGACATCAGATTTTAAAACTGTCATCTTATCCCATCGATCCTATTGTATGGTTGTGTGTAATTGCATGTAGTTCTATCTATGGCTGAACTATTCTCCAGATTTCTTATCTTATTCGGGTCAACCAATCTAGATTTTGCTAGGTTTTTATGTTCGGATAGTCTGACTGCCCCTGTTCTATTACTCTGACCTATGTATTTGACCTGATGTCCCTTGGTTGATAGTCGGATGTCAAACCAAGGGACGTGTGTACCGATCAGCGGTTCGCTCCGTCCTTCTCTATGGCTCTGAAACATGGCCAATACGAGTTGAAGACATGAAAAGGTTGACTGCTTTTGATCATAGATGTCTACGATCTCTTTCCCACGTTAGGTGGCATAATAAGGTAAGTAATGTTGACGTTAGGCGTAGAGTGTTGGGCAAAGAGGGAAAATCAATCTAAGAGGCTATAAAGTTACATAGATTGAGATGGTTAGGTCACGTGCTGCGCATGCCTAACCATCGCCTCCTCCTCCCCGACGGGCATTACTAGCTGATAAAGGTGCAGGTTGGAAAAGAGTAAGTGGTAGCCAAACAAAACATGGCCTCATCAATCCATGAAATCCCTGACAGTTAAACTGAGTCAGGTAGGGAGATGCAGACTTCCGGGTTGGGGCCCGCCCTCGGGACTCTAAGAATCAATGGCTGGAGACAGACAATAGGTGACATGGCTCAAAATCCTTGTCAATGGCTTACGCAGATGTATTCACTCTCTGTAATCTTTCATATTCCTTTCTACCATTACTCATTCTGTTTTACTCTTATACTTGTCAAAACTCTATTGATTCTCTTCACTCATCTTCTTGTCTACCTTTGTGTGCTATTTGGAACGTGGCAACTCGAACTCCTGCACTTCAGTGCCAAGTTCTATGTTGAATCCAGCCGGCCAGACTGACAATTATGGTAGGGTATTAGATAAACTAAATTGTTTTGTTCTAAAGGCTCCACAGAATACTTCAACCGACAAAGCTTGTTTCTATTTGAGTTTGTGGATGGTTTGAATGCCAGCCACTTTTATTCCTGCCTGCCTTGTTAAGGATTCCACGTAGGGTTTCCGAGGTTCCTTCGTTGTATGGAATTATTACTGATGATTTAGATTCCTCATTGTTGGTGTTGCCATTCTCTTGCGCATGTTTGACATGCACACGTTCGTCATTAACGGAAACTGTGTTTATCGAATTAACTGCAAATACGTGTATTGGGAATCATCCAACACTTGGCCAGTCAGACAGCTGGAAAATTGCACTACCCCTACTACGACGACAAATAGGAATGAATAAGGAAAACTATAAACTCAAGTTTCGAAGTTGTGTGACTAATATAATTGATGAAATGATTATGAAAAATAATTGATTGTGTTCGAAACCTTGTCATCCAGTATATAATCATACTGTTCCGCTGTGTATGTGATATATCTAATAAACAAAATAATATGGAATTATCTGCTACCACAGCGCTCAAAATTTTACAACATATATTTAGAAAGAGGAATTGAATGTGAAAATTGAAAAAGTGACTGTTTTTACACCTCAAAGGCGATAAAAGTTGTTAAAAATTAAGTTGTGAATGTATAAAGCAGAAAATCTATACAACTTTTGTCAATACAAGTTATCTCCTCTCTTCATTAATCAAAACTGTAAAAACCGATCAGGCATAACCTAAATAGTATAGTCATAAAAGTATCAATTTTATCAACTTGGAAAAAGATGGTAGGCTTTATATAATCGTTTCAGAGAGATAACTCCTTTTTAAGAATGAATATATGCCTATCATCTAATGAGTGCTTATATTCTGTCTGTTTTTGGCATAGAAATTTTCACACATGTGCGGCAGTTCAAGTCGCCACACTCCCTCCATGTAGAACACAAAGGAAGAGAAGAAAGTAGAAGAAAAGCATATTAGAGACAATAAACAGAGGTGTGAGACAAAGGAATAGTAAGAACGAGGAACAAAACAGTTTCATTGGAAATCATAAGTCACAAGGAGTGGATGCATCTGCGCCAGCCATTGAGAACGGCCACTTTGAGCCATGTAACCAATTGTTTCCAACCATTGGTTTTTACCGTCCCGAGGACCCCAGGCAGGAAGTCTACACTTTCCTACGTCGCTTAGAATAACTGTTGTGGATTTCATTGACTGTTGCCATGTTTTAGTTTGACCACCACTAACAGCCCTTTTCCAGCCTGACCCTATATCAACTAACATTGTCGAGGAAGGTGATGACTAGGCATTGATGTGTAACACATGTCCTAACCACCTCAGTCGATGCAATTTCACTGTCTTGTCGATTGATTTCCCCTCCCTCCTTACCTAGCACTCGACGCCTAACCTCAATATTGCTCACTTTATTATACCACTTCACATAGGAGATAGAACATAGACACCTATGATCAAAGACAGCTAATCTTTTCATGTCTTCTCCTCTCAATGACCAGGTCTCACAGCTGGCCATAAAGGAGGACAGAGCGGACTGATGAGCAATACACACGCCCTTTGGTTGATAGTCGGATATCACGTCTATATATATTCTACATGCTCTAGCTGAGTAATTCAAATATACAGTGATAATAACAATGGGTGCGACTCGTTTAGTAGATACAGGCTCTTTTTAATTATTAAACTTAGTGTAAGCCACACAGTTTGTCAATGAGCAAATAAAATCAAAACCAGTGATTCAGAGACAAGACTCTTTACAACACCGAATTTATTATCAACCTGTACAATTAACTGTATGTATATCGTTTTTTTCAAATTAACAAATTATAACCTGTGAGGAAATTTAAACAATGGTGTGAATGCATGAAATAATAATAATAATAATATGAAATGCAGTTAAAATATTTGTGATTATAATCATAGGTTAAATATCGTAAGTCAAGTGGCCAACCAATTAAATGATTGGTTGGAGGATTTCATCATGAGCTGACATCAGTTAAAGAACCAATGCAAAACGTGGGAGGAAGTACTGAATAGCTGTTTCGTTCTAGTTTGGGACTCTTCACCAGTACGCACGCACTCACACCAACGGGGTTCGAACCCATGACCTTATGGTTACAAGGCGAGCTAGCCACAGGGACCTGATTGAATGACCAGTCCATGGATTCTAAATTCTGCCAATTCATGAAAAAGCGCAATCACTTCGCAACGTCTTCTTCGATGAGTTACTGCCTCACCACCACCTTCAACCTGCTGTACCCTACTGGTCACGGCTTCGTACTCGAAAACCTCAAGTTCACTGCTTGAATAGGGCCAGTCGCGCTAGCGAGCATCAGATCAGTTTTCAAATATTGGTCTTGTAGGGATTTTGTTTACTATCAGCGCATGATGAAATCCTATAACCAATCAAATAAAATACTTAAAAAACCAATACTCGAAAAAAAATTAATGTCATATATGGAACAAATCAAGATGTATAGATGTTCGAAGGAGGTGCATAATTATAGGATCCCGCTCAGCTTTTTTCTAAGAGAGTGCAAGAATACCATCCAGTATGGTTACGAAGAGGTTAAAGTGCAGCTATAACAAGCGCGCAATCGTCGAACACCTGGTCAACAACACTGATCACCCTACGGTCTCTACAGCCTCAGTCTTTAAAGTCATCTCACACTAAGGCAAAAAATAATTTGCCCGAATCATCATTACGTATCCAATTCACCTCCTGCACTTCTGAAGCTTTGATTATCAAAAGAGGAAAGCCAGATCCCTGCATACAGAAAACGTTAGTTCCACCCCTTCAAAGTTCATGATCTTAGTCCATATATACTAAAGTATGATAATCCACATTGACATTTTGGCTCTACTTATTTTTCGTTTAGCTTATTGAATTTGTATTTATTGCTATGCCGATTGTTTTTGTTTTCCATTCCTTTACGTTCCCAGTGGAACATAGGGGGCTTCAACCTAGAGACTTGAAGTTTCTGTAGCACAGTGTTTATTTTTAGAGGATGGTGTTGCTAGCCTCATGCCCAACCTTCCCTCTTTACCAGCTTTTATTACTGGCTTAGCGAGGTAAAGGAGTGCATCCGTGGCTGGGGATCGAAACCCGGACCACATGTGCATCATCAACGAGTGTCCTAACCACTATGTCGTCGACGCTATGCCGATTGTAACTGTTATTATTCCCACTTTGAACTGTCCTCGGCGTTAATTCACTCATCCCATTTGTCATTCTAAGTCGATTTTGTTTTGCAACGTTAGATTCTATGTTATCGAATGCCACACAATTTTACGGAACATTTTTATTTTATTCGATTTGCCTACTAATCCTGTAATAGTTTACCCTTTCCAAGTTCTATCCATCCTATGAATTATCCTATATATGACATTAATTGCTTTGCTACTTGACATTTAACTATGATTATAATCACAAACATTTTAGTTTTAATTGCATTTCATACTATTATTATTATTATCTTATGCATTCACGCCTATAATTCAATTCACTCAATGGATACAATTTCTTAAAAACCATACACACACGATTGTACAGCTTGATAATGAATTCGTTGAAAAAGAGTCTCTTCGCTGAATGGATCACTTGTTTTGATTTTCTATATGTTACAATAGGAATTTTCCATGAATTAAAAAAGAAAATTCAACGAATATTTTACTAAACATTAACGAGAAATACCTGACACTTATTAAAACAACAAATACCAAAGACAGACTGTTTGAATATGACAAACGCTGTGAGAACTTCACGAACTAACGAACTCACTGACTAACTATATGTCACAAATCAAAATACCTGGAATCCATCCGCTTTCTCACGAAAACAAACGATAAGTGATGAATACAGCGTACAATTTTAAAATTGAAGTTTACAACTTTTATGAAAGAGGCTTTATGAATTCTCCGACGCAATGGTAAGCGTAACTTGACGATAGCAGAAGGCTATGAATTCATTTTTGATGTGATTGTGTTCTCCGAGCTGGATAGTTAATTTGCGAAGCTTCCATCACCATACTAGGTGACATCTTCAGCGCATACTTCAATTTCAAGTGAGCTTTTAGATTTCTCCACGAGTTTATTAATCATCTCTCCTGGTGGGTGACCTTGGACGTGATTGGTTTGTTTTGTGTGTTTTCACACTTTCTAGGCTACTTGTGGTATTGGAACTGATTGTTTCTTTGACTTGAAATTTTATCCTTTTTGTTTGAGATTTCTTTCTTATCGGTTGTTAAATTTTGTCTATCTCGATGTGTCTATTGATTAACGATTCACTGAAATACCAGGCTAGCTTCTGAAAATTCTCTAGCATTTTTGTTGTTTCCTCTGTCTAATATTTGAACGTTAGTTGTCCCAGTCGAATTGATGTCCGTGATTGTCTGGATGTAGTGATATGAGGGAGTGGATATCATGTCTTTTGACAGCTAGCTTATGTTCGTGGATACGAAGACGAAGGGGACGTCCACTTTGGCCAATGTAGTGTTTTTCGCAGTTGTTACAATTTATTTTTTAGATGATGTTGGTTTTATCTTCTTTCGCTGTTGAGTCTTTTGGTTGACATAGAACTGAGTGAAGTGATTGACAAAATTTATCATCTGATAAGAAAGAAACCTCACACACAAAGGGTCAAAGTTCAAGTCAAAGAAACAATCAGTTCCAATAAAAGTAGCCTAGAAGGTGTGAAAACACACAAAAAACAACCAATCACGTTCAAGGTCACCGGGAAAGATGATTAATAAACTCGTGGAGAAATCTAAAAGCTCACTTCAAATTGAAGATGTCGCCTAGCAGGACGACGAAAGCTTCGCAAATTAGCTATCCAGCTCAGAGAACACAACCACATCAAAATCATCCACCTGAGCTACAAATCTTCTCCATCATAGCTATGAATTCATTCCGTACTGTCATCTTATGCTTAGCTCCAATTACAAACTGTGCGGAATTCAAGTGCTTTCTTACCTACCAATTACTAAATAACAAACAGTCAAACCTCAAGGAAACAAACCTTTTCATCGTTCTCGTGACTGCCCTACAATGCATCCTAAGCGCTATAAACTTTTCTAAAACTATGTTTGATTACTTGTGAGTAGCATAAAACAATCGTCTAGTAAATAAACCGAGAAATAATAATAATTATTTGCTTGATTCCAGAAACAGTACTAGTGGTACAGTGTGGGATTTTCAGCACATATCTACAATATTTGCATCTAATTTTATTCAACGTTTAAAAGGAGTATTTCAAAAAGTTAATATAAAAACAACAACAAGAAAAAACGCAAAAATAATTTTGTTACAAAAATGCGAAAAAAATACCAAGAAGTAGAGATAAACAACATAAAATAATATCTCAGTATTGGGTAGTGAAAGCTATGATATGATTGTGCATGGTGACAGTAAAGCTGTAGTCATACAAAGAAGTTATGAAATGATATTTAAGAATGTTTATCGCCAAGATGATCAGTTAATTTAGGTTGAAACAACTCTAAACAATCATTAAATAACATGTCAGGGTTGTTGTTTTGTTTTTTATTGTCAGGTCTAATGCAGTGTTTGTAGTGGTAGTGTGAGCAATCCTGCATAATACAAAATGTTAAGATGGTGACATTGGGGTTCACAAGCAATGATTGTCAGTTAATATTGCCGAAAAAAAAACAGCAGCCACAATAAATTATAATTACATGATGGTTAATGACAGGACAATTTTGTAATACTCATAGTGCTAATATAGTCGGAACCAGTAGGTACACAAAAGAAGGAATAGAGTAAAGTACCAAAAAGGAAGCCAATGTTAATAATTTAGGTAGCGAAGTATGTTTAAGAAGGAGTTCACTATATAATAGAAAATAAGAGAGAAATGAAAGAGCCTAATATTATGTTACTAACAACAAAGCAAGTCACAGATTTCGCGCTTAACATTGTCTCTATCACTTAGGACACGGGCCAAATATGGTATCGTTGAGTTCCTGTACTTGGTTGTGCGAGCACATATTATTTTGTACTGATTTCTGGTTCTACCTGATGAGATACAAGGCGAGAGTTGGGAATAGAGGGGCTGTTGGGGGTCGGAGAATATGGTTTTAGACCATTTTTCGCATGTATTCAGATGCCTTTCAACTAATGTCACTGACGCATGTCGCTAACGCCATACTGATAAGTGTAAACATACAAAAATGCTTTGACTGAACAGCGGTTGGTAACTAGTGTCACATGTGTCTAGTTCTTTGTTTACTGAACACTGGATTCTATCAGTCACGTTTGCAGTGTGCAAGGTCACCAACAACAAATTAGGTGTCTCGTCAACACGGTGCCATTTGTGTATTGTTGATATTAGATGGTTGAAAGCAATCGGCCACAGAAAGCCTTGCTTGATCTAGGTTTCGTGCTAATGGGTAATCACCGGTGGATTTGCAATCTCCCTGAAGAAACTCATGCCTCTGCTTCTGAGATTCGAAACTCTGTCAACGGATTCTGCTGACAGTATCCAGTGTGTACTGAAACAAAGGACTATATACATTACACTAAGTACTAACTGATGTCCGACCAAAGTATCCAATAGAGTCAGTCCTACAAATGGTCATTTGGTGGGCCGAAATAACTTAATGATAACGTCTGTGACGACTGCAGCACTGGATGACTATACGGGGAGAGTGACGGTTCGAATCCCAAAAGGGAGATGAGTTGTTACTTCAATAATGAATGAAGAGATACGCCTTGCTGACTGACTGACTGACTGACTGGTAACTGCCAACTGGTACGAAATCTAGGTGAAGCAAGGCTTCCTGTAGCCGACTGTCTCCAACCATCTGATATCAAAAATTACAAATTTACTGTTAGTAAAAATAATCACACTGATGTGCAATACACAATGAGTTATTAAAATCTGTTGTGATTTATTCAGCAGGTCTATAGATGAAACAATATATTAGGAACACTTAACAGTGATAAAGTGATAGAAAGTAAATTATTATAGAAACATAAACAGTAAGGATTTGAATTGTCTCCAGTTTAATCATGGATTGCTGTTAGTTAGAGAACCATAGAAAACCACCAGAGAGTACTGGACAGCTGGTGTTTCGTCAGCCCAGCTTAGGGGACTAATTCATCGGCAGTAGTAATCACCCACTGGGTTTCGAACCCAAGATCTTTCGGTTACACATACGGCAAGTTCGCATACCGGTAGAAGTTGGAATTCATGATCTCGACATTGAGTCGAGTTCCAGTGGCTGAATGGTTTACTGGATGGTCCTGGGTTCAACCCCCCCTCTGGTGGGTACGTACTGCCGATGACTCCCAAACTAGGCTGACGAAACAGCAGCTGCCCAGTTCTCCATGGCTATCCAGATGACATCAGTCTGTGATCGAACGGGAAAAAGCAACAGTACTTAATTTGCAACTCCTTCACTATTAATAAAGCATTCATGACAAAATATATTATTATTACTATTATGTAGCAGTCTTTTATGCCCCTCATTGTATAGTGTGACTGGAGAAACGCAGTAGGCTTATACTCCCTAGAAAATAAATCAATACTCTGAATTTTGTATGCATCTTGTAGAGGTTCATGTTAAGAAAAATGACTATTTTGGTATAAAGGTAGAAATCACAATTAGTTAGTTTACACAATTTCCAAACTGTTTGAATTGCAGAACAGATTTACATGGAATATCATAAATTGTTTGTGCGTCAGTGGCACAGCGGTAGAGTGCTCGCCGACCATGCAAGTGGTTACGGGTTCCATTCCCGGCAACCAACGCATTACTTTACCTCGCTAAGTTAGTAATAAGATTGGTGAAGAGGGAAGGTTGGGCATAAGGCTAACAACCTCATCCCGCAAATAAAATAAACACCACCGCTACCGAAACTTCAAGCCTCTAGCTTGAAGCTTTATGCTCCACAGGGATCGTAAAGGAGTAAAAAAAAAGTTGTCTAAGCTTACTCTTTCTCATTCCCCGAATTAATAGCCAGACATACTGAGAATGCCGTCGAATGCCATCAACCAGCAAGCAAGTCACCGAAAACATTGAAATTAGGAAGTGTAAAACAAGAAATACAGAAGCCCAAAGAGAGTATATCAAAATATTTTAAAAAAAATAAAATAACACGTAGAAAAATAACAAAAAGCTTACCACTTCGGCCAGTATTCAATTGTTTTTCCAAAGATTGTGCAGCATGACTTAATATTGCATCATCAAATGTCTCATCATCCCACAATTCTGGAGAGGTTGGCATTACAGTTGATGCGAATCGATTAGAACTAAGCGGATCTCTATTCTGGACATTAGTATTATTATTAGTAGTAGTAGTAGTAGTACTGTTAGGATCTTGATGCGTTCTCTGCAAATTTGACATTTGATTAGACTGATGATGATGGTGATTAATATCCAAATCTTGTGTAGATGAAGAATTGTCAATAGGATCACGAACTTGTGGCGTTATACGCGGAAACCAAGACGGTAGACTGTTGTTACCTTCATTCAATGGTATATTTAATTTATTAGCTAACAGTTTACCAAGTTCATACATTGTATTCTCTTCATACTTTTCTAAAAGTTCATCTACCTATAATACCATTTGTAAACAAATAAATAAATAAATATTTTCTCGAAAAACAGGTAAATAAACAAAATGTAATTCCTTAAGTATCATTTATATAATGGTGAGTAGTTAAAAACAGATTAGAAGTTGTCTAAATGGACATAACAGACGAAAACCGAAAAAATTGGATGAACAAGCAGCCAATGAAGACATGATTCCATATGAGGAGGGGACATCTGAGACCCTATGTAGGATTCTCAACAAAGCAGGAATTAGGTTGACATACAGACCTACAAACTAATTCAGATAGGACAAGCACTGTAGGTTAAACGACACTGTCGGTTGACCCAATTAGACAAAATAATATATAATTTACAAAATACCTTGCTATGACTGTGATTTAAGTCAACTACATAGGTCAGTGAGACCCGTAGGTCGGGAGCAGTCACATTATCGCAGCATAAGAATTTAGCCAAGGTAAGAATGGTCGATCTCACCCGCGAAGACAGTTGAGTAATTTAGAAAAAGGCTCAGCGATTGCACTGTATGCATTAACACACAACCACACACTAAGGTGGATCAGAGTCGAAATGCTAATAAGGAATATATATGTAGGTAGAGAATCCTGTCTGGTTCACTGAGTCTACACCCAACACAACACATGTAACAGAAGTGACACAACGCAAATACCAGAGATATGGAAGATATTATTACCACCAGTCAAATCAGAGGATAATAAATAATGTTAAAATGTATTCAATTCACATTACTACATTTTAACAAGTTATTTATTTATTTATTTATTTTACTATGAAAACATCTTATGTCCCATCTTATTGTATTTTATTGATAACACTAATATCATTTCCGAATGTATTACTATTATTGTTCCCTTGGGTTCCTAGTGGAACATAGGGCTTCAACTACACGTCTCCACTTGATTCTCTCTTCTGCTGTACTTTTCACCTGCATCCATGTTAGCCCATGCTGTTTCAGCTCCTCTTCACACGATCGCCTCCATGTCACCCTTGGACGTCCCACTCGCCGATTCCCTTTCGGGTTCCACTCGAGCTATGGCCTGACGCACGATGTCACCCAACGGCCTCCTCAGCGAGTGTCCAATCCATCTCCACTTTCTCCTCGCAAGTTCTTGCAGAGTTCTAATTCGCCCTTCTTTGGTAGTTTCACGAGGTAACCATTCCTCCAGTCAGTAGACACCTTTTCCTCTTTCCAGACCTTCTGCAATAATAGAGTTAGCATATCTGCTGTCGTCTCTGGGTCCGCTTTCAGTGCTTCAGGGGGTATTCCATCTGGTTCAACTGCTTTTCCAGCTTTCAGAAGCTCGATTGCATTCAAGACTTCAGCTTTTGTTGGAGGATTGGTGTCAACTTGCAGTTGTGTACGCGCTGCTGTTGGTATTTCTGGACGGGTTGTAGGTGGTGGTCGGTTCAAGAGTTTTTTGAAGTGGTCCACCCATTGTTTAATCTGTCTTTCTTTCCGAATTCACTTCATCTTATTTTGATTTTATTCACATGTCTAATCAATTTTTACATATATATATAAATAAAGCAAGAAAGTTGTGTGAGTGACTTGATATGATTATGAGTAGCAATAATTTGTGCTCGAAACGTGGTCATCAGTAAATTTTACTGCATAACAGTGTGATTTTATCAAAATAAAATTTTATCCATAATGGAACCTTGTACAGCACCAATCACCACTAAAAGAAGAAATTCGACAGAGGTCACTTCCTTTCAACCATAGGCGGCAAATGGTACGGATGAAGATGTCAACACCTGCCAGTCTGGATCGCGAAGGCAACATACACCATCAATCTAGAATCGGTTCGGAAATTGCCTGCACTCCACCTCAGCATAAACAACAAGATTCACATTTTCAACATAAATGTCAAGTCAGTCAATCAGTCAGTTTTGCCAAATGGGTAAGAAACTAGGCGAACGCGTCACGAATATGATTTCCGAAAGTCTGTTGCCAACTTTCATCAACAGCTGCCCAATCCCCGGCCCCCTATTGAAGATCGAACGGCCAGCTGACCAGAGAGAATTAGCAACAATAAGCTATGGGACCTACGTAACCAAGAACCTATCGCTCAACAAATGCGTTTATGAGAAAGTGGAGATGGATTGGGCATACGCCACGAGGAGACCGTTCTCAATGCAGGCCATCGCTCGAGTGGAATACGGACGGAAAATGACGAGTGCAGGAGATTGTGTAACGGAGAGGAGATAAGAGATAATGGGCAATCGTGTGGATTCGCCAGATGAAGAGAAAAGGAGTAAATTGAAGAAAGGTGGAGATGTGTTGTTGAAGCCGTATGTTCCCCTTGGAACCCAAAAGAACAATAATAATAATAATAACTAGGTTTCAAGCTTACCAGCTACATATCACGAACGCTTATCGACAATCTTAAGGGAAACCTAAATATCTTCTCACAGAGTATCTCCCGCCTATCTCCCGATTTCTGGATTATTAAAGCCTCAGTAATTACAACCAACAGATCTAATAAGGTATAAATATTATTAGAAGTGTCTCATGCAACATCACTGATACACTTGTCAGATTAAAAACAGAGATACATGCAAAGTCATAGTCAATGAACGATACACACATAGTCATAGATGTCTGCGTTCTATCAATCGACGAGGCTGTGAAATTACATCAACTCCGTGAGATGGTTAGGACATGTGTTACGCATCCATGCCTAGTCATCGCCTTCCTCGACGGGTAATGTTAGCTGATATATGGTCAGGCTGGAAAAGAGCTAGCGGCGGTCAAACCAAAACATGGCCTAATCAGTCAATAAAATCTACAACAGTTAGTCTAAGCCACGTAGGAAGATGTAGACTTCCTGGTTGGGGTCCTCGGGATGGTAAAAACCAATGGTTGGAAACATTTGGTGACATGGCTCAAAATCGTTCTCAATGGCTGGTGCAGATGCATCCACTCCTTGTGACTTATGATTTCCAATGAAACTGTTTTGTTCTTCGTTGTTACTATTTCTTTGTCTCACACCTCTGTTTGCTGTTTCTAATACGCATTTCTCCTACTTTCTTCGCTTGCTTTGTGTGCTACAAGGAGGGAGTTCGGCGACTTGAACATCCTCACATATGTGCAAAGTTCTAAAACAGACAGACAGACACACGTAGGCACCAATAGCTCTCAAATCTAGTTAGTAGAAAATAGCACATCACCGAAAATCTGTGCAAATTAGGATTTTCAGATAAGGTGTACATTATTTTGGCATATGTAGAGATACCGAATTCGAAATAAACATTCCGTTAACAAAGATTTTTTCTTTTCTACAGTTACAACAGTACGTTTTAAGGTGGACAGCTGAGAGAAAAAAATGAAGATACAATAATCTAGCTCGCTAACAAACCTATGTGACAGGCAAAATGACAAAAGTATTAAACAGGTTCTGATAACAACAACTATAACAAGTATCAAAACAGGTTTTCTAAACATAAAAGAACCTCGCACAATACAGACCATATTTACTAGTAACTAGTGTTAACTTCGTCATCATGAAACTGCAGTACACTTTGAACAGACGACTTGTAGTTGACATCTCTGTTAAGAAGTAAAACAAGCAGGCACCTTAACCTGTTTGACGACCTGCCCAAAAACTACGTCTACCGAAAGCTTTCATCAATATATTAGCATCTAAGTTTCCATTTATAAAATTATATTTGTAAAATCTCAGCGAAATTGAAATGATTAATTCCAACGTTTCGTTCGGCAATCTGGCCCAAACTTCTTCAGAGAAATTAATAGAAATTAACATAACAGAGGTTTATATATAAAAGGAACACCTCTTGGTTTTAAAAACTTTGTCCAATCACGAGCCATGCAACAGGCATCAACATGTATAATAAATAAATAAAATTGTATGTTTATGTATAAAAGTACATCCTCTTGTTTTAAATTGTTTGTTCCGTCATGTGAATCAAGAAGCAGCTATCAATAGGTCTAATAAACAAAACAAAACCAAAAATTTTTATATGAACTGTGATCAAAATTTGACCTCAGACTTTCAAAATTAGTCTACTTTTGTTAAAATATATGTGTATATGCAGTATACAATGGTGTGTGAATGAACATTTATAAAACATTTGTTATTCTCATATGAGCTGTGATCAAGATTTGACCGGATAGTTACAAAATACGTAGACTATCGGGAATTTGATCAAGTGTGACTAGTTGTTGAAACATATCCAATTTATTTATTAGTCAGGATTTGCCATGCATCAGCTAAGATCACACCTTCACGTCTGTTCAAACTGTTGGGATTCACCCATATATGTAGGGCTTCTGCAGTTAGTCTTTCTTTATATGAACCAAAACCTTTCTGTAAAACCTTAGTCTTATCAAAGTCGATTTTGTGTCCCGTTTCTATCGAGTGCAGTGCAATCGCTGAGTTGTTTTCTAGCTTCTTCAAGTCTGCAGAGGTCTTTGGAACCACCTTTAGACATTGATTATGCTCTTTCACTCTTAAATTTACCTGTCTGGAAGTTTCTCGTACATATACGGCGTTACAATCCCCACAATTGATCTGGTATACACAATTCTGCTGGTTTTCTTGTTCTGTTTTATCCCTAACCTTAACCAGTAATGAGCGTAGGGTGTTTGATGCACGAAAATACACTCTTATGTTATGATCGTTAAGGATTCGCTTTATTTCGTCACATGTTTCTTTGCGGTAAGGAATCACCGCTGTACTAACCCAATTCTTAGCATCAGGTTTTGACTCATCCTTAACTTCACATTTTAAATACCTATTTATGGAGGTTTTAGGATAATTATTTGATTCAAGAGTGGATTGAACCAATTTTAATTCCTTGCTAATATCTTCCTCCTCAGTAACCAAACGTTTGGCTCTGTTGATCAAATTCTTGGCCAGAGTTACTTTGGTGGTAAATGGGTGAGCTGAATAGTAATCTAGGTATTTATCCGAATTTGTCGGCTTTCTGAAAATGTTTATTTTAAATTTGCCATCTAATTTTAT